CTGTGAAGCTGCAGCCATTCAGGATGTTGGGAAGCCTAGTGGATGTAGAGATGACTGGCTTGGGGCTCCTAGGAGATCAGTTTTCCCTGGGTGCAGACCACAGGTTACATGGCCATCTTAGCAGACAGTCATCCCCCCCAAGGTGTATAAGTCTAGCAGCAATATTCTGTAGCTTTCTGTAGAGTGAGCACTACAGAAATGTATATAGTACCTGTAGTACCTGTGACCAATTAACCCCTCCCCTTAATTAGCAGACTGAAGGAAGGCAAGGAAGGGAAGATAAAAAAATGCTATTTAAAAAGTGAAAGAAAAAGTGATTTAAAACAGTAAAAGCTTCTAGCAAGACCCAAAGAAGAAATTAAAACAACTACAAGCACCAGCAATCACACGTAAAACTGTTTTTCACTCTCCACTCAAATTTCCCACTCTTTTTAGCTATCAGCCAGCAAAATGTGCCATGTTCTTAACCACTTGCCCTCCAGAGAATTTACCCCCCTTCCTGACCAGGCCATTTTTTGCTTTATGGCGTTATTACTTTAACTGACAATTGCGTGGTCATGCAACGCTGCACCAAAATGAAATTTACGTCCTTTTTTTCCCCACATATTGAGATTTCTTTCGGTGGTATTTGATCGCCTGTGCGTTTTTATTTTTTGCGCTATAAAAAAAAAAGGGCGACAATTTTGAGAAAATTTGTAAAAAATCAAAATTCGTCATAAATTTAGGTCAAAATGTATTCTGCTACATGTCTTTGCTAAAAAAAATCCCAATACATGTAAATTAATTGGTTTACGTGAACGTTATAGCGTTTACAAATGGCGGTATATATACTGGGATTTTTAAATTTTTTTTACTAGTAATGGCAGCGATCAGCAACTTATAGTGGGACTGCGAGAATGCGGTGGGAATTCTGACACTGGTGGGAACTGACTTGGTGTCACTGACATCCCCAATGACATCAATACAGTGATCAGTGCTAATAAAAAGCACTGACACTGTACTAATGGCACTGGGGGTTAACATGTGGGACGATGAAAGGGTTAACAGTGTGCTGTTTAACTAGGGCCTGTGTCTGTGTACTTCACTGTAAGCACACTGCTTTGCATGGCTGTGCTGTGCACAGCCATGCAAAGCAGTGTGCCAGAGCTGACAGAGGAGAGAACTGTTTTGTCGGAGATGCTCAGCAATCACCAGGCACCGGCGAGTAATCAGCAGTCGGAACCCAGTCATTGACACCCGCAACCGCGAATGGTGGCGCAGGTAGGGCGAGCGCTCGTGTGAACCCCCTACCCGGAGATGCAAAATCACATATATATACGTGATTATGCGCACCCTTGCCGCCCTGTAGCAGTACTTCTGCTATAGTGTGGAAGGAAAGCAGTTAAAGTACTCCCGTTTGTTTTCCATGTTTGTTGTTTCTAAAATACCTTCCCATTTAATGTTGTGAACTATGGAGCATTGTTTAGCAAAGTTGGCTCTCTTGAAATGTAATGTTCTATTCCAGCCTTCGTGTCCTCTTTTCCTGTGATTTACGGATAAACATGGACATCTAGATAATAATTCAGAAACAATAGTTTTCAAAGAGTAAACAGATGACAAACAGATGTTTATAAAATAGCTGCACACGACAGTTTGACAAAAGTGGGGTAAACGTATAGCAGAAGGAATACACTGATTTTTCCACTGCAGATATGCATAAAGACCACAATAAAGTGCCCTTATCTAACAAAGAGTTAATGCTGGTACCACAGAGGCTAAGATGAACATATCACTCAATCCTCACAATATGAGGGCTGTGTTCAGCAGGCTAATACAGGAGGGTGCTTATAGAATATCAATGTAAGGAAGCAATTTATAACTCTAGAGTGGGTTTATAGGCCCTCTGCTCTCACTCAGAATAGATTAGGAGGTTATTATGGAGTTTTATAAATCAAAATAGGCATACATGAAAGAAAACCAAGGGAACAGGCTGCAATGGTACCAATAAAGGTTCATACCTACCATGGGGATAGGCCATGTCCTGAAATTCATGGCAAACAGACAAACCAATACAATATTTATTCTAAGGAAACTATTTCTACAGCTATGGTCAAGTAAAAATATAACATGATCTAAGATTTAATGATGCTTTGTTTGGCAACCTCTATGTACTTATATATTTAAGAAGCTGTGCCTTTTAATAAGCAAGAGATGGCAATTTTGACTTTGATATTTACAAACAGATTAAGTGAGAATTATACCTATGGAATAACTTTAGAGTTCATGCTAAAATAAATTAGCACACACAGTAGAATATCATATTTGAAAGAAAGTATTTTTTTAAAGGATACGTTCACCTTTCAAAGTAAATAAATAAATGCAAACATGTTTTTAGTTAAAAAAAATAGTTTGCATTGATTATTATTTTTTTTTTTTGGAGCCTGCACAGCACTGTACTCATGATTTAGCAGATCAGCAGATGTCAGTCTCCTGCACTCTAGCTTTGTGCCTGTATTCATGTTCACTACATAAATGCTACCCTGAACAATGCATACCTGTTTAAACTATGTTTAATATTGTGCCCTGTCCTCAAAATATGTAGGGTATTTGATTGAAGACAAACAGCATTATACTGAGTTGGCACTTATGGAAAGTCCTAAACCTAAAAGTGGACCTTTCCCACACTTCACTAAAAATCACAGCAACATACAGTTACTGCTGCTTGTGCTGCGGGCTGTGTGATCTTCCCCCGCTCTCCTTCTCCCCCCCACCAGAGGTTGTCTGCAGAATGGCAGTGAGGCAATCAGCGGCAAGAAGATGAGTATACAGCTTCTCAGGATCATGGCACATGTAGTCCTAGGGGGAGCGCTGTGCCAGGAGGTGAATGACTGCACTACATCTCTACCCATACCACCCTGTAGCAAGAGGAGGGAAGCACATATGTTTTCCAAAGGAGTTGACCAGAGATCATGGCAGTCTAGTGTGGGGAGCCAGAGAGTGTGGACCTGCCGCCTGTGTGATCCACACCTACACTAGAGAGCATGAGAACTTAGCCCTTTTAGTGTCTGTGTGCTAGGCCAAAGCTGTGCAGACACTAGAGCCGTGTGTGCCGACACCAGAGAGGACAGAGCCTGTGAGGACAAGCGCTAAGAGATTGAGCTTTGTGAGAACCTGTTCATGAGGAGTGAGAGGACCTAATCCCAGAGGACAATCGACTGCCAGGCATTCTGGAATGGATCTGATGCGTACCAGAAGTGGTGAGTGGAACCAGCCGTGCTCATCCATCAACTGCCAGGCATTCTGGAATGGATCTGTTGCGTACCAGAAGTGGTGAGTGGAACGAGCCATGCTCATCCTCTTATTGCCAGCAGTTTAATGCCAGGAGAGATTGCCCCTTGCATGGCAGTCCAACAGTCATTGACTGCTTACAGTTTAAAGAGACAGTAGAACATGCACCACCATACAGACGGGCCCCAGCATTAGCTGGCTTAAAGTGGAACTTTACTCTCTCAATCCACATTGACTATTTTTATTCACTTAAAGTGGAACTTTACTCTCTCAATCAACATTGACTATTTTTATTCCTTATACTGCTAGCATTAGTAAATAGACAAGAATGTATATAATATTTTCTTGTTTTAAACTTTTTTTTACATGTTTTCAGTAACTCCCTGGCTCACATGCCTAGGCAAATGAAGTCATACATCCTTGCAGTCTTCAGGAGGGGAGGGTGGTGGGTTCTCAGCATAACCAATGCAAAGCTAAGGACAGATTGATTCAAGGAAGTAAATGCTACATGAATCATCAAGATGATTACTCAAGATGGCCACTGCCAGAATTGCAAGGGTTGTTTTTGAAAGTTATTTCTTAGCAAAATAAGGCATGGAGACAAGGATGGACGGGGGAGTTTGCTTTGGATATTAACAATGAATTATTTAGCATCTTGGTTTGTGGTGCTCAGATGCAGTGCAGTTCTATTTTAAAATTGCTAATTAAGGAGCCATTCCCAGGGATACCATTTTCAGGAATGTTTACACCCATCCACTCCTAGGGGTGTATGTGTACAGTGCTCTCGGGGAGATTTTTTTTTTAAATAGCTATTGCTAAGAGTTAGTGAGATTTTTCATTGTGTCACGGATGCTTTCACAGTTGATGCTTTTCTTACCATTGCTGTGTAGTTTAATGGGGTTTAGCCTTATTGTGGTATAAGTCAATGGCCCTACTACGAGGTTAATATTCCCATCAGTGAATCTAACATATTCACTGCGTTGCTTATTGTTCTATGCATTGAATTTTGTGTGCCCTGCAAGAATACATTTACTTTACCTGCCATCAAGCAGCTTGCGACCTATTTCCTGTATACTAATACAGTTGCAGTAATATCCAAATGCCTAAGCTAACCTAATTCCTTGCAGCATGCAAAGATATATCCAAGTGTGTCAGAGGGGACAAAACAGTTACAGAGTTGTGGCACAGAACAGAGGACCCATCATACCAAATGGCTGTTGTGGGGATAGTGCTAAGATTAGGTAAACAAACATTTTTGCTTTTTACTTACAATTATCGTTTTCACACTTCCTGGTTTCTTTATGGCACTGGTGATATCACCCGGCCCTTATAGCTGCATCCTGGAAAGTACTTCTTATATTTTCCAGGAGGCAGACTTAGAGTTCTAGGCAGAATTTAAGGAAGTAAAGGGAGATGGATTAATCTGCCCTTAGTAAAAATGGCCACCATGAGAATAGTGGGAAGTAAAAGGAAAATAAAGTTTGCAAAAAATAATCACGCTTAATAAGTATCTGCAGACTGCCAGTACTAAACATTTTTAAGGGTGCCTTTGTTTTCATTTTTAAGATAATGGGAGAAATTCCTCTTTAAATATCAGTTCTTAACACTTCAATGTGATATTGTGAAACTGTAAAACATTTTTTTTTTTTCAATGTGACACTTTTAGCATATACAATAAATAAATACACACACATATACAATTAGAATAAAAATTATTAGTGTATAACTTTTACCTAGCATAAAGTAAGTATCACCAGGGTTTAAAGGTAAAGCAAGACCTGGAGTTTCAATATCCCAGGCTATCTTCAAACCTACATGCCAATCAGATATAGATTTCTTATCTTCAAATATTTCATCAGCACAATCTGAAATATAAAAACAAATGTCACTGAAATATCAACTGTTGTTTATAGAGAATCCCAAAAGATGTCTATATCTGTGCAGGTTAGACTACAAAAAACTCAGGTCACATGATCTTTAATCTGCGTTTCCCCAAAAAAGAGGATTGCATATATGCACATGGTTAACTCTAACCCTTAAAGTATGCATTTTATCTATCACAATAAAAAACTTGGTGATGCCACTACTTCTCTAAGGTCCCCATTTCACACTGGCTCGGCAAGCACAGAAGCAGACCTGTGCTTCTGTGGTCAGTCTGCATCCTTGTGACAACTTCTGGGAGTTACAGGAAGATGTCTCAATGTACGTCATGCATGTATCTCTCACTTCCAGTTGTGTGGCCATGCCCCCTTCCAGGTCATCTTGGTTTCATAAGGGGATGGCTTATTTACACAAACACAAAGATTAGTGTTTTTATTTTTTTTGTTTACAAACGGTTTTATTGTATAAGAGTAGACTGTAAAACAACAGTACATTTTCAAATGATATTTACAGCAAAAACAAGGCACTTTTGAAAAGTACAATACAGAAAAGTATATTAATGTAAGAAAGAGAAGAAATAGAAAAGAGTAGATTGCAAGTACATGAAATACGTAAATTATAAGGTGTTGAATGATACATCTGTCAACAGTATATGTCAAACAACTTTCACTGGAAATGTTATTAATTATGCAATAAATGTCTATAATCCCTCCATGACTCCCATTTTTTTATCAAATAAGTGCATCTTATCGAAGTAGGGTATACTGAATGCGTTCCATAAGCATTACAGCGTCAATTCTGTGTAAAACGGAGGCCAAGGGTACAGCATTGGACCTCCAATGTAAGGCAATAGACCATAAAGTGGCAATACATATAGTATGTATCAATCTCATAATGGCATCAGAGACCCCTGGGATATGAGCCCCCAATAGACAGGTCTGTATAGACAATTGTACCGGGGTACCCGCCAGTGAGGTAGCCACCTCAGAGATCTTGCACCAAATCAAAGATATGGTCGGGCAATCCCAAAATATATGAACCAAAGTGCCTGTGAGGCCACAGCCCCGGAAACATAAAGGGGACGTTTTGCGGGAACAATACATGTAGTCTTGATGGGGTATAATACCATCTGGTTAAAACCTTAAGGACCGTCTCACGAACAGAGAGAGATCTAGAACACTTACATATGTTATCCACCATGGAATCCCATTTTTGTCTGTATGAAGGGGTTGTATGAAAAAGACAGATCAAAGATTGGTGATAAAGATCAGAAATAAGACCCCTACCCCTAGGAGAGTCACGGCTGGTACGTTCAAAAAAGGAAATCGGAGAAGATGGTATAAGGCCAAAGTGTGAATTATAAAAGTGTCTAATCTGTTGGTAACGATGGTAACTCACGAAGAGGAACATCAAAAAGCACGCGCAGCATATCAAAGGTAATGTAAGATCCTCTTCTTTGAAAATCAGATAATCTGATAAAAGATCGATCATACCACCAACAAAATGTTTGAGGGGAAGAAAAAGCTACAACAAAAGTAGGATCACCAAAAAATGAAATACCAGGGGGAATAAGAGAGACCAGATTCAATTTAAATTTATATTTGGACCAAAGTGTCAGTGAATGGGTCACTATGGAGTTATGAAAAGTAAGCGATCGAGGGGAGATTTTGGACCACAAAATACCCGGTAAATAGAATGGGCGTATAGACTGAGATTCAAACTTGATCCATGGGATCTGAGAGTTAATAGTTGCCCATTGTGATAGTTGCGCAAAACGAGCCAAGAGGTAATATAGCCAAAAATTGGGAAGACCGAGACCTCCCGTCCATTGTGTGCGGTACAAAATACAGTCAGGTCCATAAATATTGGGACATCGACACAATTCTAACATTTTAACATTTTTGGCTCTATACACCACCACAATGGATTTGAAATGAAACGAACAAGATGTGCTTTAACTGCAGACTGTCAGCTTTAATTTGAGGGTATTTACATCCAAATCAGGTGAACGGTGTAGGAATTACAACAGTTTGCATATGTGCCTTCCACTTGTTAAGGGACCAAAAGTAATGGGACAATTGGCTTCTCAGCTGTTCCATGGCCAGTGTGTGTGTTATTTCCCTCATTATCCCAATTACAATGAGCAGATAAAAGGTCCAGAGTTCATTTCAAGTGTGCTATTTGCATTTGGAATCTGTTGCTGTCAACTCTCAAGATGAAATCCAAAGAGCTTTCACTATCTGTGAAGCAAGCCATCATTAGGCTGAAAAAAACAAAACAAACCCATCAGAGAGATAGCAAAAACATTAGGCGTGGCCAAAACAACTGTTTGGAACATTCTTAAAAAGAAGGAACGCACCGGTGAGCTCAGCAACACCAAAAGACCCAGAAGACCACGGAAAACAACTGTGGTGGATGACCGAAGAATTCTTTCCCTGGTGAAGAAAACACCCTTCACAACAGTTGGCCAGATCAAGAACACTCTCCAGGAGGTAGGTAATGTGTGTCAAAGTCAACAATCAAGAGAAGACTTCACCAGAGTGAATACAGAGGGTTCACCACAAGATGTAAACCATTGGTGAGCCTCAAAAACAGGAAGGCCAGATTAGAGTTTGCCAAACGACATCTAAAAAAGCCTTCACAGTTCTGGAACAACATCCTATGGACAGATGAGACCAACATCAACTTGTACCAGAGTGATGGGAAGAGAAGAATATGGAGAAGGAAAGGAACTGCTCATGATCCTAAGCATACCACCTCATCAGTGAAGCATGGTGGTGGTAGTGTCATGGCGTGGGCATGTATGGCTGCCAATGGAACTGGTTCTCTTGTATTTATTGATGATGTGACTGCTGACAAAAGCAGCAGGATGAATTCTGAAGTGTTTCGGGCAATATTATCTGCTCATATTCAGCCAAATGCTTCAGAACTCATTGGACGCCGCTTCACAGTGTAGATGGACAATGACCCAAAGCATACTGCAAAAGCAACCAAAGAGTTTTTTAAGGGAAAGAAGTGGAATGTTATGCAATGGTCAAGTCAATCACCTGACCTGAATCCGATTGAGCATGCATTTCACTTGCTGAAGACAAAACTGAAAGGAAAATGCCCCAAGAACAAGCAGGAACTGAAGACAGTTGCAGTAGAGGCCTGGCAGAGCATCACCAGGGATGAAACCCAGTGTCTGGTGATGTCTATGCGTTCCACACTTCAGGCTGTAATTGACTGCAAAGGATTTGCAACCAAGTATTAAAAAGTGAAAGTTTGATTTATGATTATTATTCTGTCCCATTACTTTTGGTCTCTTAACAAGTGTTAGGCACATATGCAAACTGTTGTAATTCCTACACCGTTCACACACCTGATTTGGATGTAAATACCCTCAAATTAAAGCTGACAGTCTGCAGTTAAAGCACGTCTTGTTCATTTAATTTCAAATCCATTGTGGTGGTGTATAGAGCCAAAAATATTAGAATTGTGTCGATGTCCCAATATTTATGGACCTGACTGTAGATGAAGCAAAACGTGGACGCTTATTACCCCAGATAAAATTGTTAATAGTCCGCTGAAAGTGGGTCCAAAAACGTTTTCGAGACCGGAACTGGAAGTGCTCTAAAAAGATAAAGTAGTTTAGGCAAAATATTAATTTTAACCGCCGTGACTCTACCCAGAAAGAAAATAGGGTAACCATGCCAAATCTTCAATAGAATAGAGAAACGTGATACACATGGTGGATAATTAGCAGCAAACATATCCGAGTATCTGGGAGTGAGATTAATACCTAAATAGGATATTCGATCCGTAACCCAACAAAATGGAAAAGAACTACGGAGAGATGCACTTAAGGAATCATCAACATTAACAGGCATAACCACCGATTAGGTAAAATTAACAGTAAGACCTGACGCTATAGCAAAATCGTTCAATACGGCACATAAATTAGGCAATGAAGTTAACGGGTTAGTGAGAAAAAGCATAACGTCATCAGCATACATGCTTATTTTGAAATGTGAACTAATAATGGGTAGCCAGAAATATCCAGATGTGATCTGATCGCTACTACCAAAAGTTCAAACACCAGCGCAAATAAAAGAGGTGAAAGAGAACAGCCCTGATGGGTGCCTCTACCCAATGTAAAAAAGTCCGAATTACAGCCAGGAAGCCTTATTCTCATTTTAGGAGAGTCGTATATGGCGTGTATACCAGCTAAAAACTCGTCACTGAAGCCCATTTTCTGTAGCAAGGAAAATAAATGGGCCAAAGAACACTGTCAAAGGCCTTGTTTATGTCTAGACTCATCAACAGAACCTCTTTAGAATGTAAATTGGCATCTTGAATAACATTTAGCGTAAGGCAAATGTTATCAGTAATAAATAAAACCCGACTGGTCCGGAGAGACCAAAGAGGAGATAATAGGGGCCAACCTGTCTTCCAAAATACAGCTAAATATTTTCAGATCGTTATTCATTACTGCAATTGGTCTATAGTTTTGTGGTAAACAGTGGTCTTTCTGTGGTTTGGGTATTAAAGACATATTATTAGCCAATAGCATCTCCTCAGGGAACTTACCCCCCTGCAAAACATCACTAAATAAAGTTATCAAATAGGGAGCCAACGTAGAGGCAAAATGTTTGTAATAACTAGCGGTGAATCTGTCAGGACCCAGTGCAGTAGAACTTTTTAGCACACCAATCGCAAAAGTTATTTCCTCCAAAGTACAGGGGGCATTAAGAGAGGCAATCTGAGAAGGTGTAAGAGCAGGGAGGGGTATAGAATCCAGCCATGAGTCGGATGGTGGAACCGAATCTGACTGTGGAGGAGCTAATAGGTTAGACTAAAAGTTTTCAAAAATACCCAAAACTTCCTGAGGTAAAGATGAGATAGCTCCCGAGTTAGTGTGTAACTTATAAACAAGTGGGGGGCATAGAGAGTGGTTCAATTTCCTTGCAAACATAGTGGATACTGAGTTGCTATGTAACAAGAA